GTATACCTCCAAAAAATGACTTGTGCCTCCTACCATCGCGCATGTTACTCAAATCATTTGACGTGATAGTAAAAGGTTGGAAGACCGCAGTTTCACGTGGAACATTTGGAGATTTTTAGAGATCAGAGACTCAATGAACTAAACACTAGAGTGAACTAAACTAAACACTATGAATCTCAACACTAAATGATGAAGACCGCCTCATAGATCTCAAAAACAAGCTGGTGCATTTCGACGGCATGGGAAAATAAAAGCTTGGGCAATTATTTGAAGTTTATGGTATTCGTTTTGTTCATATTACACTTTTATTGTTAGTGAATTAATTTGACAGACAGCATTCGCTGATGTTGATCAAGCTAGCGCCGTGAATTCACCGTGAGACACACGCAATTGACACTTAGCAAGCAGGTTAGTTAAGCTCTCAGATTCTGTCAATTATATTACGCAATTCAAAGAATAAATACCGTTTTGGCGCTTGTACATGTTACACTACAGATCCCTAGCGCACGTGAACCGATCATCTCTAGCTAATGGAAAAGAACACGAACACTGTTGAAAGATACAGTATGCTACAACTTACCAAAATGTATTCCTCATGCATAATGTCGACCAATCATTTTTTGAACTCTTCCCTGAACTGAAATGTAGTAATTGGCTGTATTTCCACACGACTGACATCAGGTTCAAGTACACACAAGCCGGCCGGCGCGAGCGCGACTCACTCGTCTATTGCAGTTTGGCTGGTGCTAACGTTGCCCGTCCGCATACCGCCTCCCATGGCCGGAACTGGTATTACGATACCTGCCGGGCCGGGGCTAGTAATTTAGCATGCTAATTCAGGTTAATATCTCGGCAGCACTATAACTTGTCAGTTTTTTAATGACATCTTTGCACTTATTTCTTCTCATTCTTTTGATGCGTGTAGCTCATTTTTCGTATATTGTTACCTCAATTATTACATATGCCACCTTTAAAGTTCACAGAACAACATTTTTGAATATTTTAAACATTCCGAAATAGCACTTTTATACGTTCTTGGAACATATTTTTGACAGGTCATTTCTTAAAGCAGGTCTGAACTCGTGTGACACACGAGGAACGGGCGGCAGTGCTTCACCTGTAACGTGTGTGTGTGTGTGTGAGACGAGACGCTACACGTTTGAGGAGATCTTCCCGCCTCAGTGATCAAAGGAAAGAAGCACGAACAAAAACTGTTTACAATCTCACTGTATCCAGTGAACAGGAGAATTCAGGGTTAATTCAGTCTGACTGAAACTAAAGTCCACATCAACGCTTCACATTTACAGATATTGAGTCGCTGCAGGTTGCAAATGTTGAAATAATTGTTTTTATTCCTAACAAGGGTATTCCTGACCAGTCTGTGAACTGATTCGTCATCATTGTCCGGTTATCATTTCAGAATAAATAGTTTTGTCCTTTTAAAGTGTGACTCGCTCCATATGACATTTATCAAAATGTGTGATTTATAGTCGAGTCAAAATTTATAATCAATTTGAAGAGTTTGCTAAATTAATAAGTGTTTTAAAAGTCATTCTAACTGTGATTAAATCAGTGAGGGCGGAGCAACCTGTCAATCACATGAGATCCACCAATAGCAAACCACGACCGTCCACGTGTGTTCTTATTCCAGGAGCGATTCACTCGGACTCACAATACAGGAGAAAACACTTGCGTAACTTCCGTTTCATGGCAACTTTAAATGTGTTGTTGAGTGATTGAAACAGCTGAGAATAGACCAGACCAGGTCACCCGTGTGTGTGTGTGTGAGTGTGTGTGAACCAGACGCCAGTGATCACTAGACATGAAGACACGACGACTGACTCTGATATGGACTGAGACATATTTAGGCTTTACATTTCACCTGTCTTGCATGTAATGTGTGTGTCTGGCCCACTTCTATTTACATAGAGAGAGAGAGAGAGAGAGAGAGAGAGACACTCACACTTTGCTTGACTACTGTTCAAAGTTGGGAATCATTAAGATGATTTTAATCGCTTCACACCAACATGAGGAGTTAAAGATTCTTCTGAAGATCTCGAAAAAGAAAAGCTGAGAGGAAAACGCAAACATTGACTACAACATAATTGGTTATTAATATTTCATTAGTTCACTGGTTTGTTTTTGCAGGTGTTTATAATTTCTGTTTATAACAGCCTGGATAAAGATTTGTCATGTTTCATTGCGTTACTATCACTATTAAAACAATCGACTCTAAACTACTACACAATGTGCTTTACTAAATCTTTAATAATGTTCGGATAAAGAGTGAATATTTCAACAAATCACCTTTGGTGTTAAATGAGATTATAGAGAGATATTTAATTTGTTTTTGCTCTGAAATGATTAAATGTGTTGTTTTTTTTCATTTACATTTACAGAACAAACTAATCATACTTGCCTTAAAATAATTAGAAAGTAAACAAACTTAATGCTTAATTGAAAAAAATAAGTAAAGTGAACTTGACAATTCCACATTGCATAAATTGTTTTTTAAGGCAACAGGTTTGCTATATTGTTTTAATTTACAGTCAACTGATCACTTTTTACAGTGAATCTGAGTCGGTTCTTTTTAAGAATCACCACGAATCATTCTAAAGAATCATGGTGAATCATTCTAAAGAATAACTGTGAATCATTCTAAAGAATAATGTGAATCATTTTAATAATCACTGTGAATCATTCTAAATAATCACTGTGAATCATTCTAAAAAATCACTGTGAATCATTCTAAAGAATTATTTGAATCATTCTAAAGAATCACCATAATTCATTCATAAGAATCAGTGTGAATCATTCTAAAAAAAATCATTGGAATTGATTAAAAACTGATTAAGAATTGACAAAAAAATATGTGGAATTGTCAAATTCACTTCACTTAATTAGGTTTATTTACTTTTTATTTTAATAAAAATAATAACTGTGAATCATTCTAAAGAATCACCGTGAATCGTTCTTAAAAAAATATGAAAAAATTAAGTAATGTGGAATTGTCAAGTTCACTTCACTTAATGTTTTTCAGTTATGCATTAAGTTTATTTACTTTTAATTTAATAAAAAGTGAATCAACTGTGAAAAGTAAATCACTGTGAATCATTATAATAATCACTGTGAATCATTCTAAAAAAATCACTGTGAATCATTCTAAAAAATCACTGTGAATCATTCTAAAGATCACTGTGAATCGTTCTAAAAAATTATGTGAATCATTCTAAAGAATCACCATGAATCATTCTAAAGAATCACTGTGAATCATTCTAAAAAAATCAAAATTATGTGGAATTGTCAAATTCACTTCACTTAATTAGGTTTATTTACTTTTTATTTTAATAAAAATAATAACTGTGAATCATTCTAGAGAATCACCGTGAATCGTTCTTAAAAAAATGTGAAAAAATTAAGTAATGTGGAATTGTCAAGTTCACTTCACTTAATGTTTTTCAGTTATGCATTAAGTTTATTTACTTTTAATAAAAAGTGAATCAACTGTGAAAAGTGAATCACTGCGAATCATTCTAAAGAATCACTGTGAATCATTCTAAAGAATCATTGTGAATCGTTCTAAAGAATCAGTGTGAATCAGTCAAAGAATCACAGTGAAACGTTCTAAAGAATCACTGTGAATCATTCTAAAGAATCATTGTGAATCGTTCTAAAAAATCACTGTTTGCTGAGCTGACATCTGAGGCTTTCCCCCGTTCTCTGTTCATCTGTCCGAGTGAGTCTCCTGTGGTGAGATGCCAGTGTGTGATGAATGTGTGTGTTGGCAGATAAAGCATCTCTCGCTCCTAATGCTTCACACACTGACTCTGGTAATTGATCACAGTGTGAAGCTCATTTCCTTTTTCCTTGAGCTCTCACACACACACACACACTCATGTTGAATATTCATGATATGGCGATTAATTAAGCAACGTCATGAACTTTGTGATAATCGGTCCGTGAAGTTCGTTAATCTGGTTTCATGTCTCGTGAGTTTGAGAGCGCTCTAACAGAGATGATTTAATAGTCTCTCATTCAGTACGACGTTTGAGTTATGCTGTGAATGAATTATTGAATCAGTTTTGATTCACTAAAAACCGTGTGAACTGATTACCAAATGAATCAAACGAACTAACTGAAGTCTCTGTTATTATTTAGGAAATATCTTTAGGTCAATATTGCTGCATGAGTTGTTATATGCATGAAAATGAATAAATATGAAATTGAAATATTGGTGGGACAGAAATGAAAATTTGTAAATGATTAATTCAATTATTTAAAAAAAAGAAATATTGGTGCATGTAAATGAAGAGTATCACATATTAATGATTAATGAACAAATAATGAAATATTTATTTATTCATGAAAATTTAATGAAAAAAATATGAAATATTGGTGAATATTAATGAAAATGATTAAATATGTTTATTTCCTTGTTCATTTAGTGAAAGCCCATATATGAATTGATTATTTGGACAGGTTTTGTAATTCTTGCATAATGATTTGGTTGAAATTATGCTTCTGACTGAAATGAAGAGATAATAATGGCCATCAAGGCTGCATTTATTTGATCAAAAACACAGTAAAATTTATGAAATATTATTCCAATCTAAATCATCTGTTTTCTATGTGAATATATAGTTGCGTGTAATTTATTCCTGTGATTTTCAGCATCATTTCGTCACATGATCCTTCAGAAATCACTCTAATATGAGGATCTGATGCTCAAAAAACCATTTATGATTATTATCAATGTTGAAAACAGTTCATATTTTTGTGGAAATAGTCATACATTTTATTTTTCAGGATTCTTTGATGAATGGAAAGTTCAAAAGAACAGCATTTATTTGAAATAGAATATTTTATAACAGTGTAAATGTCTTTAGCCGATCAATTTAATGCATCCTTGCTGTAAAAATAAAACTTTTAAATATTGAATATGACCATCTGCCCCTCATTACATCTCATTACTGTGATTTTTTTTTTTCTATTTGATTGGGTTCTTATCATCTTCTGGAATATTTTCCATGTTTGCCGATGGTTTTCAAGAGCGTGTGTGTGTGTGTCACTGTTCCAGAGAGCCTTTGTTCATAGACGCATCATAGAGGAGGTTATTAATAATGCATGAGCTCTTCATCCAGACTGAAGACTCAGTGACTCACTGATGAATCCTCTCAGGTCTCGTGAAGATCTCTGGAAGACAAACAGAATCAACGATCACAAACGTTTCCACACAGAACCAAAGCTAATCTTCCCACATACAGTATATTGATGAGGACATTTGACCCTCACAAATATTAACCCATTTCTTTAATAAGAGCAGATTTGGCTGTTTTTAACTTCTGGTTTCAGATGCTTTTTTTTATTATTTTATTTTAGCTGCTCAAAACCTGCAGTTTGCTGCATTGAATAATTGAATATTAAAAATCATTTGTAACACAAACACTTTTTTTAATTTACTGCATTTTTTCTTCCAGTTCGGCATAAGAAATTGCTTGATTTCGCATCGAAAAACAACGACAGACATGTACTTTAATTTATTGATTTATAAGAAATATATCTTTTATATAATTTATTTCTATAAGTAAAATGTGTTCATTGAATTAACATATATATTTTAATATATTTAAATAATGCAATATTTATTTGATCAAATAAATCAAAATATTATTTTTTTTAAATATTATATTTGTTATAATATAATATTAAAAATGTAATATTTAAAATATTATATTTGTAAATAATATAAATATAAAGAAATATAAATAAAATAAAATATAAAATAAATATAAGAAAAAAACTCTTCTAAAACTCTTTTCACTGTACAGGTAATTTTATGTCACCATCACAGTCATTTTTAAATTAATTTTCAATGAACCCCTTCATTACTGCTTTATTTTTTATTTTTTGTGGGCTTCATCAAAAAAAAAAAACAAAAAAAAAAAAACTCAATATACATCTTTTTTTTCTTTCTTTTTTTTTGACAATCATTTTTGACCATGAGGAGAACAAGTATTTATAGGACCATTTCACCTTTTCCCATGTCTACTTGTGTGTGTGTGTGTGTTTCACATAGCAAACTTTTAGGATAACATATGTTTCAAGTTAATTAAGAAGAAAAGCACAAGCATCAGTGCTCGCTCACTACAGTCTGTTCCTGATCTGAGTGCACTCCTGTGCTGAATGTGATCAGATCTGTGATCACGTGACCCGAGCGAACGCCTGCTGGAGCTCACGAGGTGTTGACACACAGAAACGGCTGTAGGTTATTGCTTTTTATAGTAGAAGCTGTCTGTGAAGTGCACTCGCGAGCTGTTGCTAAGCAATGCGCCGAGGAGCGGTTAGCCGTGATGGATCGCCGGCTATAACTTTACTGCGGTAACAAGCGCTGTAAAACTCAAGTGAAGACAGTCGACATGTTCTGCCACAGACAGCGTGAATCACGAGAAAGTGTTTGTATACGTCAGTGTCTTCTGCTTTAACACTCACGTCGTACATTATACATCAAATCACAACCAAACACGGTTATTTATCGTAGAAAAAAATATCAACATTGCGTTTTCATGCACAGGAGGGCGAGGGCATAATGTCTGCTATCTGAGAGGAAAGAGTTCACCCCAAAATTAAAATGATTAATGACTCTCCCTCATGTCGTCCCAAGCCCGTCAGACCTGAGGACACCCGTCACATGAACTACTTTACTAACTGTTGGCAAGTTATTACTAACTGAATACTCGTGTAGAATACTTTCCAAGCCATATATATTTTTTTTAAATTCAGACGTTTGATATATAAAAAATAAAACATAAGATTATATTTTAAAATCGATTGAACACGGAGCAGTTTTTCCTTTGAGTGAGACTGGAAAACCCGTAGTGGATTAAAGTGGAGTGAAAACAGAACGCTTAGAGTGCAGAGAGGAACGGGCTTTGACTCCAGTCCTGGCTTTGCGTCCGCCCCGTTAAGCTCAACATCTGTCTCTCATGCACATTCACTCTAGATTAGAGGATATTTTAACTAATTTGCGGTAAAACTAGTCGATCACGAGTGGCTCAACTGGTGGATCTATATAGATAAACTCATCTTTCAGGCATTTTACCGACGGCTTGACATTTTAGCGTGAGAAATTGGGGGTGTGGCGTGCGAGCGTGAATTGGCAGCCCTGAATAAAGTCGTAGTTTGTGTTATTTTTGGACCAAAATGTATTTTCGATGCTTCAAAACATTGTAATCAGAGCCATGTAATAACCCACTGATGTCACATTACTACTTTGATGTCTGTATTTTCCTTTCTGAACAAGGACAGTAAACCGTAGGGTGATATCAGGTAAAATGGGCCATCAGGTAAAATGGGCCATTTAAGGTTTGGGGGTCCCAGCTTCTCTGGAATTTAAAGCCAATGACTGCAAAGGATTTCAAACTGTTGTCATAACTGTGCTTGACAAATAACAGGTGATAAGATTGGTTTATGGTTGCTATGGTGGGCGGGGGAATAATTCAAATCGAGACTACACCAAAAAGCTGCATGGTAAGTAGCCTGGCATACCAAATTGCACTGAACTATTATAAGGATGATACATCAATAAAAAAACAAACATGCTCATAAAAAAACTATGCATACTGTCTGTCTCGATGGCATTAATCAGAAATAATGTTGTTAGTTTGGTATATAAACATATTTTTTGTAAAAGTGATGTTTTTCTTGGCGGCCCAATTTACCTTAACCCACTAAGGTAAAATGGGCAACATGGTTTCAGCTAAAATGGGCCATCATCTTTGACACACAGACACACACACACACACACACACACACACACACACACACACACACACATACACACACACACACACACACACACACACACACACACACAAATAGACACAGACTCAGACACAGATACACACAGATAGAGACTCAGACACACAGACTGACACACAGACACAGAGACTCAGACAGGCTCAATTTTAATTTTCAAATTGAAATCAGACTGAGACAGACACACAGATACAGACACACAGACTCAGACACACTCAGACACACAGACTCAGACAGACACAGAGACTCAGACACAGAGACTCAGACACACAGACTTAGACAGAGACAGACACACAGACTCAGACACAGACAGACACACAGACTCAGACACAGACTCAGACACAGGAACTCAGACTCAGACATACCGACTCAGACACAAAGACTCAGACACACGGACTCAGACACACAGACTCAGACACAGACACACAGACTCAGACAGACACAGAGACTCAGACACAGAGACAGACACAGAGACTCAGACACAGAGACTCAGACACAGAGACTCAGACACACAGACTTAGACAGAGACAGACACACAGACTCAGACACACAGACTCAGACACAGGAACTCAGACTCAGACATACCAACTCAGACACAGGAACTCAGACTCAGACATACCGACTCAGACACACAGACTCAGACACACAGACTCAGACAGACACAGAGACTCAGACACACAGACTCAGACACACAGACTCAGACAGACACAGAGACTCAGACACAGAGACTCAGACACACAGACTCAGCCACACAGACTTAGACAGAGACAGACACACAGACTCAGACACACAGACTCAGACACAGGAACTCAGACTCAGACATACCGACTCAGACACAGGAACTCAGACTCAGACACACAGACTCAGACAGACACAGAGACTCAGACACACAGACTCAGCCACACAGACTTAGACAGAGACAGACACACAGACTCAGACACAGGAACTCAGACTCAGACATACCGACTCAGACACAGGAACTCAGACTCAGACATACCGACACAGACACACAGACTCAGACACACAGACTCAGACACAGACACACAGACTCAGACACATACACACAGACTCAGACACACAGACTCAGACACAGACTCAGACACACAGACAGACACAAACAACGCACGCACACACTGACAGACACACAGACAGACACACACACACACACGCACAAATTTTTGTTTTTAAATGGCACATATGAACTATGTTTGTTTAATTTGGCTGTATAAGAAATTGTGTTTAAATATAATTGATGATAAATTGCTATTTCCCTTTGCAATTTGACTGGCCCATTTTACCTGAACAGCTGGCCCATTTTACCTGAAAGGGCTCATGCAAAAAAACTCGGCACTTCTGATGTTTCAGGAACTGTAGGGCCTAAATAATTTTATTTTATTACAAAATTTCAACACAAATGTATCAAAAACAGTCATAATTAATCATAAAAACACATGGATACTGCATATATGGTATTGTATTATTGTCCCAAACAATTTACCAAAAAGTGGCCCAATTTAGCTGATATCACCCTACATATTGAGAATGAGAAGTCACGTGCCTATTTGGGCGGGGTCTGAGCCGGTCGGCCATGATGGTTGGAGACGCTATCGGTTACCAGGGTTTTTATCGGTTTTTAACGCAGCAGTTACTTCCAGGCATGGTAAAACAGTGCGGTATTGCGAGAAACTCCTCTACTACCGAGCTAAAAACACACGTAATCAATACTGTTTTGTCGTGGGAATCCTACCAACATGGCGGAAAGGGGAGGGGCACTGTAAAATGACGTCAACACCTCATTCTCAATACCGTACCCAGATAGCAAACTGACATTGAATCAACTTGGAAATATGACATCGAAACAATGTTGATCTGACATTGTTTTGCTCATGGAATTAACGTTGAACCAACGTCAGACGCGTCATTCTTTCAAAACTAACGGAAAATCAACTTGAAATCAACGCGTTTCAACGTTATGAAAGCAAACCAATTTTCGATTTTCATTTAGCTTTGAAGAATGCCGCGTCTGACGTTGGTTCAACGTTAATTCGATGAGCAAAATCAACGTTGTTTCAATGTCATGAGAGACGTTGTTTCCACGTTGATTCAATGTCAGTTTGCTATCTGGGTAAGCTCTCGGACTGAATCTAAAATATCTTCTGAAGATGTGTTCTGAAACTGTGATCTTAAACGGAGGTCTGACGGGCTTGGGACGACATGATGAGAGTCATTAATGACGTAATTTTCATTTTTGGGTGAACTAACCCTTTAAGTCTTTATTTCATTGCACTTTATACATTTTAATCAACCCGATCTCACGGCAGTTCGCACGAATTTTACGAGGTGGGTAAATCGTACGAATTCATACAACCTCTCTCGTGCGATTTTTGCTGATTCGTACATATTTTACGAGTTACCAAATTCGTACGAATGATCTACGCCTGACCAAATCGTACGAGTGAGGTCATACGAATTAGCCACCTTTTTATAGGTTGTGTGAGATAGCGTTGATTTTAAGTGGCCGATGTAGAATTCAGAAACCCCACACTCTTAAAAGAAAAGGTTCTATATAGAACCTTAAAAGGATTTGGAACCCCTAAAAGGTTCTATACAGAAGCATTTTTAAGGGTTCAATAATAAGAACACTTTAGGGTTCTTTAACCAGGAAAAAGGTTCTATTGTGGAAGCTTTTGGGTTCTTTCCTTATCATTTGTTTTGTCCTTTCAGGATTCAGTATTTCATATTGTTGACAAACATCAAGACCCTAAAATGTATTTATGAATGCATTTGGATGATCACAAAGTTAGAAAATGTCTATATTTATATCATTTTATGCAGTTAAAGAGTGCCGTTTCAGTTTCTCCTCCTAAAAATCAGCATGATTAAACTGTGATATTAACAGTTTAATAAACAATAATTTAATTACAACTACAAAATGTTGCAGAATATTGTAATATATGAATGAATAATAGCCTTTGTGCCAAAAGGGTTCTGTCTTGTCATTATAGAAGCTTCTTTAGCATAAAAGGTTCTTTGGAGTTGATGCCTCATATATACAACCCCAATGAACCCTCTTTTATTGTAGCGACTGTGCATTTGATCATAAATTGAAGATGTTTTTGAGCATCCGCAGAAAGGCACTATTTGGACTAGACCGTGATGAACGAGTCCAACGCTGCAGCTGTTTCTTGAGGAAAACCCAAACGCAGTGTGTGTTGTAGAGCGAGCCAGAAGCGCAGTCAGACTCCTGGATTATGGGGTTTGTGTGGATGTGTAATGAGACGACAGCGATTAGAGTTTGTTTTGCGTGTGTTTGCACACTGGAGTTGTTTTGACTGCTGTGTGTGTGTGTGTGTGTTTGAGTGATCCCGAACCCCATGAATAATGGATCAGCCAGCTGGTGTTACTCTCAGGAGACGTTCCCCGGTTCCCTCGTGCACACATGACCTGAGACTCGCAGTTTAACTGGTTTGAGTTTTTTTATTTATTATTATGATATCTTCATTTTTTTACAATAAACAAGCCAGAATGAGAACATTAAAACACCAATCCCTCCCAGCTTAGGTCTCTTTACAATGGGGAACGTAATGGATAGACAAGTTAACAGAAAAACAAAGCCCCAGGAATGATAAAACATGAATAAAAGTTAAGAGTGTCAAGGTGAGTTTTAACGGGTCATGTGTTTCAAGTTATTTTAACGTTGGTTTATAGTAAGAACTGGTTTGGCGTTGTAGTGATGATGACGAGGATGAGGATTTGGTTAGTTATTTGTCGTCTGCTGTATTAACTCACACCCCCCATATACAGAAACAACATGAATGTTCATTTGCACACCATCAGATTAAATGACTTGAGTAATAAGCCACGGCCTGAGAGTCAGTGTGCATGAAGACCTTTCATATATTAGTCTATATTATATATCATATAGGCCTATTAGAACAACAGAATTGATAATTAATGAAAATTAAGGAAGACAGGGCTTGGTTTTTATACATCAGGAATTGATTTATGCATGTGTGTGTGTGTCTATCTGTATCTGTCAGTCAACTAGCATGGTATCTATCTAAAAAAAGCATGCTTGCAATACAATAATACGTGCCAGCAACCGCATAGCAACACTATAGCAAACATCCAGAGTAACCCGGCAACTGCATAGCAACACCCTAGCAACCACTCTGACAATAGCAAACTATTTGTCTGAGAAACTTGAGCATTTAAAAATGATTCAAACTACTTAAAATTTAAAAAATTTAAACTTCAAGCTTTTAAAACTGATTGAAACTTAAATTTCAACTTTCAACCAAAATGATTCAAACTTAAAAGTTTTTTTAACTCTCTCTTCAATCTTTCAGGCTTTCTCATAGAAACTCAAAAGTTTCTTCACACACTTTACTCATCTCGTTTGTAATTGCATTTACACTGGCTTTTACATTTTCACATTGAATGTCATTTGAAATGGTTGTTTTTGGCTGTTTGATTCAGCAGTTTTAGTTCCTGCACATCTACTGGCTCGCTTTGACAGTCGTAAGTCACGTCAGTGTGTCTCTAGATACTGAACACATTTCTGTCTGATTACTGCCAGAAAAGCGCAGCTGTTTGGACTGATCCAGGTTTAATAGTTTGAGCAGAAGTTTGCTTCAGCGTTCACGTCTCAAATTGTTTTCTTCAGCTTTATTCACCTAACGTACATGTTTATATTATTTATTGTATTTAATTATATATTTAGCACCGTCTGCGATTGAGAGCCGCTGATCTAGAATCGTTGGATTTATAGAGGGTTTCTCACGGTGTAATTGTGGACAGCATCATCATTGAACATCTTCTCGTCGTCTCACCTCCAGTATAACATCGTGTTGGCTTGAACAAGAAAAATGGGCTCTGTTTTTCCTCTTATTGTGTGTGGCGGCCAGTCAATCCTCTCGGTTCTGTTGGAAGTGACAGGTTATCGATTCCCCTGAAAGCCACCGCTGGAGTCTGAAGGATGTTTCAGTGCTGCCGAACTTCAGGAAGAAAAGACCAGCAGATCAACAGCAGTCAGTGCAGTAGAATGACACTCAAATTACCCATGAGGCCGTTCAACGTTCAACATAATGAATGATTAAGATTCTGCTAGTTACTTTGTTCAAAACCTCTGTGATTTTCTGAAGAACACTATAGATGAGGATTAGCGAAGGCAAGGCAAGTTTATTTATATAGCACATTTCATACACAGTGGCAATTCAAAGTGCTTTACATGGAAGAAATTAAAATAATCAAAAGAAATCAGAATAATTAAAACAGTTTAGAATAAAAAAATCATTATAATAAAAATAAAATGCAGTAAATAATTAAAACAATTTAGAATAAAAAAAAATGAAGTACAGTAATAGTCATACAATAAAAAGTGAGCATACAATAAAAAGCATACAATAAAAAGTGGATTTGAATCTGAATTGGAAATAGAATCAAAATTAGAAATGGCTAAAACTAACTTGTCAATGGCTGGTGAAATGTACCATCCATAAATATTCTTTAACGGCCATAAAACTGTTTTTGCAAAAACAGGCAGTAATGACAACACAATTTTGAACGCTATTTCACGACCAATTCATACGAGTGATTGAAATGTGGCTGATTCGTACGATTTAACCCAAGTGATGGTTAGGTTTAGGGGTAGTTCATTCGTACGCATTCATACGAATTTGGTAACTCGTAAAAAATACGTACGAATTCGCAAAAATCATATGAATTTGTATGATTGAGGTCGAATGAATTATCCACCTCGTAAAATTCGTACGAATTGCCGTGAGATCGGGTTGATTCACAATTCTCTATTCCAATACAGGGGAATAAATGAAATGAACAGAACAGGGAGTATAAATACACAGGGTGACTACTAATAGAGCCAGACCGATTTATCAACTATCGATATCAGCAGTTATAATGGCCGATAAATGAATATTTCAAAAATAAAATAAAAACGGACGAAACACGCTTGAACCATGTCATGAGTGCTGGAGTTGTATGGTTTGTCCACCAGAGGGCGCTCTACACCGTCCCTTTGAGTTGGTCACGATACATACATTGCTTGAATAACAATTAAAAGAACATCCGCATCAGTTCTCTGAACTCAAATAAGCAGGACAAAATTTGTGACTATCATGTCCAGTTTTGCTGTTAAATAAGCCGAGAGTGAAGCGGAATTAGCTAGTAATAGTTACGTTACGTTGTTACAGTAGTTGACTAACTGTCCTTTTAACTTTTGACAATGTGACTGAAGTATTTCTTTAATAACGCGTGACAGTTATAGCAATGAGACGGATCATCTCTCCTCGGCCTGTTCTATTGAAAATGTATGTTTTACAATTTGCAGTATGACGTTATCCATTGCTAAATTATGGCTCATCATAGACTAGCTAACCACAAAGCTAGCTAACGCCACTATCATCAGTCTGTTCTGTTGTGACAATAAAAGAAACAAGTTTCTTTTTAAATGCATTATCATATTATTTTAGTTAAAACTCATAAATAACTACAAATAACTAATGTTAGGGAAATCTGTTAATGTTTTGTTGCGCGTTTCTGGAAAAAATAAATATCGGGCGATATATCGGAATATCGGATTTTAAAACCAACAAATATTTGTATCGGTATCAGCCTTCAAAATCCTTTATCGATCGGTTTTCACATGTCATACATAGCTATTTCATATGCAAGCATGTCAGCCAATCACAGCAGAGGCCGGTTACACACAGCAGACACGCCCCTTCAAACAGAGTGTTCAAAGCAGAGGCTAAAATCAGGCTAGGAAAAACGCCTTTTATTTCTAAAGTATGACTATTTTTGATCTAAAAAACATACTAACATTATAAGGGCAACCCAGGAAACATTATTTAAAAAAAAAAACAGTATAGGGCACCTTTAAATTGTCGATTGTCAAACTTTCATGACGATGAGCCCGAGCATCATTCACGTTTATTCACTTTCATGCATTGTTTGACTTAATGAAAATGTTACCAGCCAACTGGCGAGTGACACCATTTTTTTGTGTTTAAAGAAAGTCAGTCAAACAGGTATGAATGAATCGTGCTGTGCGTCTGAATCCTTCGTTCTCTCGTTAGACGCTGCTATCATAGAGATGAGTGACCCTTCAATGCTAATCCACCGCGCACTTTAACAGACAAAAGAAACACATTGTCTGGATGAGATTGGCTTGTACGTGTCGTATGCGCTCGATGATTCTCTGAGGAACGTAGAGTCTAACGGCATGTTTAAAGAGCCCGTAACTCTCGATTAAACGAGCCAACAGGTTGTAATGAAGTGTTGAATTAACAGGCTCGTTAATTAAACGTGAGGCTTCGGATGGAGAACCACAGCAGAAGCTCATTAATGAACAGAACAGGTGTGTGTGATCCTTCCTCCTGACGTGTTTGCGTTTTCTTAACTGAGCACATCAGTCGGGTTACTGAAGTTAAAATCACACTCTCTGAATAGAGCTGTGAAATCTGTGGAGACATGAGTCACTTAATCATAATCCTAAAGAGAGATACACCAATCAGAGGAGACTCTGTTACCATGGAAACAGGAAGCTTTAATGTGTATAATTATGTGCATGTATGTATGTGTTTATATATAGACACACACTCGCTCACGTACAGTATATGAACTGTAGCACACACAATGTCCTCGTGATTGTGGCTGTTCTGTTTTGTCTGCTGAATCTAAGACTGTGATGGAGGTTTATTTAGGTCAAGGTGATCCGTTTGCGTTCGTCTGCATTAATCTAGATCACATCGCCTGATCTCTGTGCGGGTGGGCAGATATTTTCATTTATCAACATGACACATTCTGGTGCCGGGCGGTGATGCTCATTTTACTGTGATGGGTTTATTAGTGCATTTTTATTTCTAAGCAGGATTTCATTCTCTGGATTATAAAAAATAGCCATTTTTAGTTTTAGTTTCTATCATAATTTTGGTTTTCAGTGATTATGAAACGCAATAATTGAGGTAAAATGATTATGCCAAGTAAAATGTTGGGAAGGAAATTGCTTGTCAGTATATTGGATCCATACATTCACTCTTAAAGTGACAGTAGCCTAATATTCTTGCTGCCGTCTGTTTATCAAACAACAACAAAAAAAATCACTCACTGCTCTTGACCGAGTAACTTCAGCAGCTTTAATAAGAATCGATGTGTTTTGTGATCTAACATTTGATTACATTATATGCACTATTTGATATTACAATTAAAGTCCCCGTGAAATCAAAATTGAACCTATTTACTTTGTTAGCGCATATTACTAGTCTTGTGGTGAACAATTAATCCGTGCAAGTAAAAATATATTTAAAAAATGTTTTACCTTGGTAATCTTTCATCAAAATCTGAAAAGTTACTTCCGGTCTGGAACGGTTTCTTTTTCTGATGACGTAGGTTTCACAACTTGGGTGGGGAAACGCTTAACCACTCCCCTCAAACCGTTAGTTTGCTATGAGCGAGAGATGGAGAGGAGGAGCGCTAGAGTAAAACCCTGCCCTCTGTTCAATATTCCGTTTCACTTGGAAATACGTCACAGCACTGGAGAAAAATCGTTTGCAACTTCCGGTTCACCGGGACTTTAAACAAGAACTGTTTTTTAAATCGTTCAGCCCTAAATGGATGGTTCGCACTAAAAAAACAACATCCTCAGCAGTAAAAAAATATTTCCAGCTTATTAATTATTTTTATTTTGCACTCCCGTAAAAAAATCATGCCACTCTTTCTAGAATGATTATTTTTTTCCAAATAGATCTATTCAAGAAAATTCCAACGCTAACATTATCTCGTGACCAATTCGTACAATTTGATTTGTTACGTGATGGGTAGGTTTAGCCAACTTGTAAAATTCGTAGGAATTGCCGTGAGATCGGGTTGATTCACAATTCTCTATTCCAATTTCGATAACGATACCACAGCTAACAGCTACTAGCCTAGCTAATATACATTTAAAACATTATTATAGACTTGTCAGTGGTAAAATAAGAACAAATAATCAAATAGCAAGCAAAAGCACATATAAATACAATATAACAACAATACAAATTAAACGAACAGTGCTTTGCTTTTCAGGTCTGACAGTAGTTTTTCTAAGTACAGATTTTTAATAAAGTATAAGCAAATGTAAAATAACACTCCATAGTCTACTCTTGACTGTATAAATTAAACATCTTCTTTATTCATTAATCCTTATTCTGTCTGTGAGTGATTTTTTTTCTTTGTCTTTTGTTTTTTAATCATTAAAAACAGACATATTAGGCTGCTGTCACTTTAAGAGCGAATGCACGGATCCAATTTAATGACATTGACACACTGATCTATTCAAGTCATAATTCCTGGCTCTATTACTTCATATCGCAATATATACCACAGAAAAAAGAAAAAAAAAGTCACTGGTGATGTCAGTTTTCCGTGCAGCCCTGATGTAGTTGGGCTACTCGCCCCCTCAGTGATGTAGTGTTGTAGTGTCCCCTCGTGTCCCCTCAGTGTGATATAGTGTCCCCTCACCTGTTGTTGCTTCTGGTTCATTATAGTCCAGTGTGTTTTACTCGTCCCGCCGCGACGCGTCTGGTAATTGCGCGCGTGTTGTCGTCGCTCTGGGGCTCGTAGATGTCGTCATTGATAATGTTTTGATGATGACTTTTAGTGCACATTTCCTCAGGCGCTGCATTAAAAACACGACGAGTCAGAAAACGTCCCGAGCTTCAAGAATGCGCCATATCTGACCTCATAGAAGAAGAATGAGCGTTTAATGGAGTCCAGCGCCTCGGGCTGATGGAGGAGACGGGCTCACACACACACACACACACACACACACACACACACACACACACACACACACACACACACACACACACACACACACACACACACACACAGGAGATGCGAAATCGGCCAGTCTGTTTAATATTAATCAATGTAAGGAGGATTTATTGTTCTTGCTGAAATATTGCGACGATGACACTCGTTTATTGGATGTCTCTGGCCGCAAATGCGTCATTTTTCCTGCTTGTGTTCGTCACTCCTTTGACAGATTTGACGTCGACTACATTCATTGACTAATAAAGCAAGTTTCGTTCGTGTTGGGATGTCCACTGCTGTTGTTTTGCTGGTGGTTTTGCATTTGACAGTTTTACGCTGAGCATCGAGATCCGACACAACTGCACACGAGTTGTTTATTGGACGAAATTATCATTTGTTAATG